ATTCCTGGTAGAGGCATCGAGTCACCTGGCTGCAAAGGCGATGCTGGGAAAGCCAAGTGTCTGGTCTTTCATATGGTGGGAGGTGGGCTCTACCTTCTCCCTAGGTTTGTGGTAGGGAGTTTCTAAGCACAAGAAGGGGGTTCAGGTGAAGGGCAGTCAAGAAACCGTAATGTATGTCCACCACACGGCTGTATTGGCCCCCAAGCCTCCAAACTGCTACTTTTCCCCTTCAACGAGGAGCCAGAGGAGATGAGAGCCCTGATCTTCAGCTGTGGGTTGGTCTGGTTGGTTGGTTTTACTGTTAACAGCTTTGTAGAGATATCATTTACATACCATACAATGTATCCATTTAAAGTGTACAATTCAGTGGTTTTTAGTATATTCACAGAACTGTGTGACCATCACCACAATTTTGTAACATTTGTGACACCCCAAAAAGAAACCCCGTACCTTCTAGCAGTCACTCCTCAGTTCTTCCCAATCCCCCCAACTCTAGGCAACCACTAAACCACATTCCGTCTCTAGATTTGCCGATTTGGGGACATTTCATATAAATGGGATCATTATGTGGTCCTTGGTGTGCAAACCAGCTAAAGGGGTATAAGGAATTGAGGCTGTGAGGATGGTCTCACAAGGGGATCAGGGAAGCAAACTTTCATCCCGAGTCGGCCAGGAAGTGTTTGCCCTGTAGAGGTGGAAAGTCCTGAGGGCAGGGAAGGAGGCTCAGATCTTTACTGGTGCGGGTGAGAGAAGGGCAGTCAGGACTGCTCACCTGGGTGGCTGGATTTGGGTACCAGATCAGGCAGATCAGAGTCGAAGTGGGGTTAGACTGTGTGGAGGACAGTGGGCAATGTAGGAGCTGGACTGCAGACAGGAATGTGCAGTTTTGGTCATGGCTGGTATGCTCTTCCTTTAAGGACTGTTGGAGGTTTGTCCATTGCAGATGAGCAGGTGGGTACCCTGTGGGAGACTTTGTGACTGAGTGGGACGAATAAGGGGTTGAGTGAACGCCACGCCGTGGGTGAGACTAGTGGCCTGGAGCTCAGCCCACACCAGAGCCCGTGGGGGCAGCAGCAGCACAGGAGGTGGTAGTGGGAGAAAGTCCCATCTGGCCCCCGCATGTGCATGTGGTGCATGCTGGCCTGGCTACTAGAGCCCGGGGGCTCTCTGGGTTTCTGTGGGAAAGGATAGGCTCATAAAGAGCATGAGAACCCAGAGAAGCAAAAGGCGCTGGCCGCACAGAGCTGGCTCAAAAAGGAGGACATGGCCTGGGCCAGTGAAAGAGAGACAGGCCATGATCTCTGGCACAAAGGTGGAGGAGCAACCAAGTGACAAAGTGCAGCAACTCCAGTGTGCCCACTGCTGCCCCAGCCTGCTGCTGCCTGTCTGCTGCCTCAGAATAGCACGGACCAACAGGGCAGTTCTGCTGTGAGAACCACCGATGGCACCACAGGGCCACCACACTGCAAAGCAAACAGGGGCCCTGTGTGTCCACACTTTGCTTTGTTGCCTCATCCTGGGTATCCTGACTCCCAAGCTCTGGCTGCTTTTTCCCTTACAGATTTTATTCCAAATGTAAGTCCTGGGTGGCACCCAGTTCCCTCCAGCCAATGTGCCCTCTCCCACCACCTGACTCTTCTGTAGCTTTCTCCTAGTCACCTAGTCATGGATTCAGGATGCCTGGGTCACTCCTTCCCTCCTGCGCTAAGGGCCCTGCCCAGACACAGAGCTCCACCGCTGGCACCGGGTCCCCTAGCCCGACCTGCCCTGCCTCAGTGTGGGTGGGGCCAGGGGGGCCAATCAGCAGCACAGAGCAACAGGCCTGCCTCTGGAGCTAGCTGGGGTCCAGCTCTGGCGACAGTGTGCAGCTCTGCACAGCCAGAGGGGGGCAGAGGCAGGGGAGTAGAGAGGGGCAAAGAGGAGGAGCCCGTGGGAACTGCAGATCCTTCTAGGTTGGCTTCTAACCCAGACCCTAGAGCGTCCGTGGGGAACACATTAGGGTCCTGGGTGCCTGTAGTGGCCACAAGGGTCCTTTACCTCACCGTCCCCTTGTCAGCCTTACCTCGGGACGGCGCCGTGCACCACACTGCTGAGCGTGGTGGCCAGAAGAGGGACTTAGTGGCAAAGCTTTCACCGTGTCAAAGGCTCCCACACATGAGTCCCACAGTAACTGTCCAATTCCACAATCAAGTGAAATGGAGCCCTGCTGGATGATCTGCCAAAGTTGCAAGCCATCCAGCACGTGGCAAGATGGGCTTGAATCTCCACCCTGCCAAGGTGAAAGCACTTCTGACCACATACCCTCCGAGAAGACCCATCCCCGGAGTCCACTTCATTCCCCAGCCAGGAGGGGGATGCTCAGTCACACCCAACTCCCTCTAACCCCCTCCCCAGCCTGCCATCCTCACCCAAAGAGAGACTCCTGGCACAGCATGAGACTGCCTCAGAGGGAGGGCTCTTCTCCCCTTTCAGCCAGGAAAGCCCCTGTCCCTGTCAGCTCCCTGGCAGTCACCACACAGGCCAAGTAATCAAACTGCTGCATTTTATTCTGTAGAAAGCGCCGCCCTACATAACCCTGAGCCCGTCTCCAGGGCTACCGGAAGGTAGAGAAGCTCTGGGTGCTTGTGCAGGAGGCATAGGGCACGCCCCGGGAGCGAATCTGCAGGGTGTGGAAGGTGAGGGGTGGGTTTGGGCCCGAGGAGCCGGGGTTCAGGGACTCGGTGTGAGGCTCCATCACAGTCACGGGGACTGCATAGGACAGCATCTGGGGCCGGTCATCCTGGCGTCTCACTGTGCCCTTGCCCAAGAGGTGCAAGACACAGGAGAGGACATCAGTACTGCTGCAGGTGGACCCCCTGCCAAGGCTGCTGACCAAGCCCCTGGGAGGACACGGGCCCTTCTGCCAAGCCTCCAGCACCTGGTATGGAGCGGGGAGAAGAAACGATACGTCAGACGCCCAGCTTACCGCACCTCTAGCTCCCAGCCCCAGGACAGCGAGGCCATGAGGGGCACCCCAACCCCACTCCTCACCCACTACAGGCTCTACAGTGAGCCAGAGACTTCAAATGTGGATCCATCTCCTCCTGTGGACTGCCCCCTGCCCCCGGCAAAGCCTCCTCACCCAACGCCCACCCCCGCCTACCCGGCAGACAAGCTGGTCAATGTGCAGGCCCTCGTCCCCGTGGGCCTTGAGGATTCGGACAATGAGGCAGTTGAGAAGGTTCCGTCTCTTCTCCAAGTTCCGGCCCTCTTCGTCCTCAGCTTTCAGGTATGTCTGAGCTGGGATGAGCCACACGTTGCCCCTCCGAGGCCTGGGTTCCTCGCTACCATCTCGAATCTTGAGCACCCCTGAAATAAGCGCTGGTCACTTGGTGGAGGGGCCCTCGAGGAGGCTGGCCCCAGCTCAGGGCAGAGGCCCTGGGGCCCTAAGTACAGACCTCCTGGGGCATCTTTTGTCTTGTGAAGGTCCAGGGGGCCCCTTGAAGAGGTAAGAGGCCCAACTGCCTGATTCAGCATGTCTGGAGAGAGCCCTGAGAGCGCCAGCAGACTCTCCACGGAGACGGCCTTAGGAAGAGAAGGGAAGCGTCAGGGCCTCCCCAGGAGGTGGAGCAGAGAAGGTGGAGGGAAAGAAAAGGAGGGACAGGTGGGAGAGAGCAGGGAGGCGTGAGGGGCTGGGCCACCTTCAGCTCATTGAGATGCAGCAGCAGCCACATCTGCACGGTGGACACATGCAGCGTCTGGTCCCCAAACTGCAATTCAGCCCGGCCCAGCCATGTCCACTGCAGTCGCCTCTGCGGGGCCTGCTCTAGGGCAGGGTAGCTCTGACCTGAGTGTCAGGGAGGAGGAGGGAGTCAGGGGGTCTGGTGAGGACGCACCATCGGTGGAGCTTTGTCCCCGTTAATCTCTGCAGAGTCTGGGGCCCAGTGTTTCTGGACACTGTGGTTCCTGGTCTGAGCTTCCAGAGCTCAGCCCTCTCTGTGTCTGCCTCCTGAGTAAGGGGAGCCCACCCTGTGCCAGGCAGGCTGTGATCAGTGCCTTCGACGAGTTCCCCAATTTTTAAGGGAGACAAAACCATGAAGTGAGGAAGGACTGGGGCTCTCATCAAACTGGAAACGTCTCCCCCAGGAGTGTAGGAGCTCCCTGAGGGCAGGGTCTAAGTCTCACCCCCCTTCCTTTGTCGCTGCCCAGCCCAGGATCAGCCCCACTGGGGAGCTTAGGTTACGATGACTGACCAGGAACGAGACACCCACCACTCTCTGGTAGTCTCAGGTGCCTCCTGCCTCCATCCTCCCCACCACCCACAAAGGGAGTCCTGGGTCTTATTTTAAAGACAGAAAAGACAACAGGCTGGGGATCTGGCACCTGTAGCCCCATCCCAAACCTAAGCTCCTGCCCTTTTCCTCAAATCTACCCCGTGAAGGCTGCGAGCCCCAGGGGCCACCCCCAAGCCCAGGTTCTTTCCCGGTGTCCCAGCCCGCAGTTCTCTCGGCCAGCTGCTCACTCTTGTTGTAGAAGTTGGAGTATCGGTTCAAGGTGCCCCTCAGGTAGGCAGGCAGGCAGGTTCTGGGGTTGAGCGTGTGGTAGATGGAGGCAGTGGGCCAGCAGCGTGGCGACAGGACGAGCACAGACACTTCTGGCATCGCCCCTTCATAGTAAAGGTCCTCGTTCTCATCCTCCTCCTCCGCCGCCTCCTTTCCCGCCCCGCCGGCCGCCGATGCTGCCCCAGCTTCCAGCTCAGCTTCCTCTCCGGTCCCTCTCTCGTGCCCCCTGCCGCTGGCCTCGTGGCTCACCTGAAGACGAAGGAACACAGGGCACCCCAAAGCCAGCGGCTCCTCTGGTCTGCCCTGTGCCTCTCTCTGTGCCTCCCACCCTCCCACTTGCTAATTCCCTTCCCCAGCATGCACCTGTATTTTCTTCTCTGTGTCCTCCAGCTTCAGGAGTTCCTGATCAAGTCGCTGGAGCTGGTACACGTGGAACTGGCGCTGCAGCTCCTCCGAGGTGCTCAGGCTCCGCAACATCTGCTGGGGGAGGCGGTTGGGGAAGCAGGGGCCGATCTGCTCCAGCACGGCCCCCTCCAGCCAGCTCGAGCCCACGCTCAGGAGACGGTCCGCCATGTAGTGCCTGCAGCACGAACAGCCCAGGCCGAGCCTCAGTGCTGGGGCTCGGCATGGCCCCCACGCTCTGGGACTCCAGCCTGCCGGGAACCCGGCCTCCCAGCCCCAAAGGCTGGCCCTGCCCGTCATCCTGCGTCCCCCCACCTCCCACTCCCTTGGTCCACACTCACTGGTAGTAATGCTCGAAAGTGGTGGCTATCTCCAGGCCAGAGAAGATCAGGACGGTTTCCAGGCATCGCTGCAGTTGGGCCAGCATCTCCATCCCCCGGGCCCCACCGATCCGGCTGCCCTGGATCCGCTGGTCGATGTGCCGTGCAAACTGCTCGCTTACCTGGGCAGTGGGGAGAGCACAGGAAAACTATGAAGGAGAGAACGGAGGAGGTGAGTGGGAACAGGAGGAGGGTCTGAGGAAGGAGTTATGAATGGCCAGCAGGTTCATCAACTGGTCAGCGATTTTATAAAACTCTTATAAAATCATTAACAACTGCGTACATTAACAATACTAAAATGATGAAATCTGTTTTTTGTTTGTTTTTTAAAGAAGATGTTGGGGGTAGGAGTTTATTAATTAATTAATTTATTTTTGCTGTGTTGGGTCTTCATTTCTGTGCGAGGGTTTTCTCTAGTTGTGGCAAGTGGGGGCCACTCTTCATCGTGGTGTGCGGACCTCTCACTATCGTGGCCTCTCTTGTTGCGGAGCACAGGCTCCAGACACGCAGGCTCAATAGTTGTGGCTCACGAGCCTAGTTGCTTTGTGGCATGTGGGATCCTCCTAGACCAGGGCTCGAACCCGTGTCCCCTGCATTAGCTGGCAGATTATTAACCACTGCACCACCAGGGAAGCCCTGAAAACTGTTTTTTTTTCACATTTAGCATGTCTAAAATCAAACTAACAATAGTAACTCAATGCAAGAAGACACAAGCACACCTCAGAGATATGGCGGGTTTGCCACTGCAATAAAGCAAGTCACGTAAATTTTCTGGTTTCCCAGCGCATACAAAAGGATGTTTACATTAGACCATAGTGTATTAAGTGTGCAATAGCATTATGCCTAAGAAACAGTGTACATACCTTAATTAAACAATACTTTATTGCTAAGAAATGCTGACCATCACCTGACAACACAGGGTTGCCACAAACCTTCAATTTGCCAAAAAATGCATTATTTGCAAAGCACAATAAAGCGAAGAGCAATAAAAGGAGGTATTCCTGTAAGTTACGTGCACAAAGATGGTCACACCACGTTGTTACAGCCATGCTTCTGGCTCCCACTTCGCTGTTCTCTGCTTACCAGGCACTCTGCTTAACTGTGCATCTTCTCTAGGAGACTGTAAACTTTGAGGGAAGGGATTTCGTCTATCTACAGCTCTTATCTCAGTGCCTGACACATTTTAAGTGCCTATTAAATATTTGTGGAATGACAGGAATGGTGGAGTAAATTATAGTATCGATACATCTATTGGATGGAATTTATACCAAAATTTGAAGACAAACAGCAACACTGAAAATGGCTTTTCATGTAAGGGTCAAAAGAAAACAGGATAAAGCATTTTAGCTACTTGTGAGTAAACTATGTGAAATCAAGCACACAAGTAGAAGAAAGTATGCCGAGATGTATTAGGATGGTACAAAGCGGGTCATTTCTTTCTTTTATCTTCCTTTTTTTTTTGCGGGTGTGGGGAGTGGGGGCTGTGGGCACAGCTTATGGGAACTTAGTTCCCCGACCAGGGATGGAACCTGGGCCCACAGCAGTGAAAGCGCAGAGTCCTAACCACTGGACCACCAGGGTATTCCTGTTTTTTTGAATTTTTGATAACATGGTTCTATATTAGTATTGTACATGCTCCTTGTTGAGTGGGAATGGAAAGGTGGGCCATTCTGAGGAGGGGAAGGGAGAGTTTAGGGGGAGAGGCCCCAGAGGAGGGGAGGATGGGAGGCTTACGTGGGCAGCTCTGAGGAAAGGGAGCTTCAGCAGGGCACCAGCACAGCCGTTCTGCAGCGCCAGCAAGAAGGCTGCCCGTGGCCCAAAGAGCTCGGAGCTTGACTTCTGCAGATTACTAAAGTGTTCGCAGTAGCGGGGCACAAAGTCATCATCCCGCCAGTGTGAGGTCAGAAAACTGTTGACCTGGAGGGTGCGAAGGGGCGGCAGTGTGAAGGGCAACCCAACAAACCAACGGCACAGTTCCGCCCTCCCTCCCCGCCC